ATTGGGATTCTGGCCGTTGGCGCGTCCGTCCCTTCGTCCGTTCCCCGTATCATAGTTATTTCCTGTAGATACAACTTTTACAGGAATTGCATTGGTGTTGTCTAGGATTTTTTGTGATCCTGTACGACGTATCTTCTGTGTTACGGGAACGGAATCGGTTTCGATTGCCTCTGCAGTCATTACCGCCGCGCTCGCGGTCTTGATTATCCGAGCGCCGCTCCGGTGATTTGGCTTTTGCCGTGTAATTTTCTCGGCTTCTTCGAAGCGCCATCGCAGCCTCGATCGCGATGTTCGAGTTCTCGTATTCGATGGCGTAGCGTAGCATCTTCCTCAATTTGGTAATGCCGACGCGTACTCCTTTGTTTCGCATCAGGTGAGTTACATAGGGTTGGGGCAGCTTCATTAGGAAGTGTTCCGATAGGTCAACCTCGGAGGGAGGTTGCAATAATTTAGACGATGCCTCAATTAGATCGTCGTAGAAACTCTGTACTCCGGCATCAGAGTCGAATTTAATTTCTTTATATTTGTTAATAGCCTTTTCAGGCGTTATATCTATCACGAAACGGTCAAACATATCTATGATTGCCTGTGTAAAGTCAAGTGTCCGTACTCCCGGATTTACTCGGGATACCTTCAGGCGCCACCACCGGCGTGCCTTCTCGCCCAATCGCGCGGGGGTATGCAATTTCCGCAGGATATCACGGCGCGGTCCCGACAGACCGGTAAGTATGAAATACTCGAGAAGGGACTCGAGCCAGTCCATGAATTTGTCGGCATCATTTTGGCCGTCCCAGGCTTCTGGTGCAGGCGGTTTCTGATTTTTTGTATTAGCATCAGGTTCTATGTAGTTTCCTACATATGTATCTATCATGTACTTAATTTTATTATGGTACATTGTGCGCAGGCTCACTCCCGTGAACTGGTTGCTGAACGGAATATACGAGCCTTCACGTAACGCACGCATATCTTCATCGTCCGATCTCGCATTATTGCCAGGTGTACGGTTGCGTGGGTCATTTCCCGATTCGGTATCGCTTCCATCACTTCCTGATCCTGGATCTCCGTTTCCTCCAGGCGCGTTCCCACGCCTGTTTCCGTGCCTATGTGAGCGTTGACTGCCTCCTCCCGTCCGGGAGCTGTTATTACTACTGGGGCCACTTCCCGACCCTCTATTACTCATTTGTCGTGTTCCTTGGTGGGACCCTGTCGGTGGAGCAGTCACTGCTCGTCCTTGGATCGGTCTTGATTGTGCCGGAGAAGTGGTGGCACGTGATGGCGCGGCACCATTGTTCTGGGTCCTGACGTCAGGGTCTGGGTCGGCATACAGATCATCTTCCTCATCCGTTTCTGGACGGCTACGTATGATCGAAGTGGTACGCCTGACCTCGTTTTCCTCTTCTGTATCGCCTTCGTTACCGTCCGTGCGGGGCGTAATGAATTCTCGCCGGGCCGGTCCACTTTGAGGTGCGTTTCCGTTTCCAGATCCTCCCGCAGACTCGGTTTTGGCTTCGATGTTGAACCATTCGGCTGGCCCGAGGTCCGAGACGCGACGTGTTTCCATGCGCCGGTGTAGGAGTAGTAACTGTAAATATTCTTTACCTCTCTTTACACTAGATTGTTCAATTATTAAATTGATGTCTTCGATTCTAAGTGGACGTTTGCCCCCTTGGTTCCAGAGCCTTTCGGCTATTTCTCTCATGCCGATAAGATCTTCGGCATCGGTCTGATACGAGGGCGACAGATTGCCCTGATCTGATTGATCGTTTCTCACGCGCTCAGACTGCTCTGGGCGTTTACCTTTCTTACTCTTGGTGGCTTCATATCCTTCAGTTACAACCTGACGAGCGTCAAGTTTAGCTCCTGAGCTTCTCAAGGTGTGTGTTCCGGACATTTTCATGTACCCGTTAGTTGGTTTCAATAGTATACGGCGTGTTCAAAAAAGTGTAATAAGTGTATATGTAGCGTAGCTTATGTAAAGCTATGCTACGACGCGACTGAACA